TTCTTGGCTCTCTTCAGCCTATCGGTTAAGCAGACAGTACCTGTTTCGTTTTTCTTTTTGTGAGCATTTGCAGAACGTGATGAGGTCGTCGCAACGGACTACTAAGCCTGGTGAAGCAGCGATTGTACATCAAGGCATAATCAGATAATGAGCTGCGGGATGTGATCCCAGCGATACGTCTCAGAAAGTTCATTTCAACCGCTCTTCGGAATTTTAAAGTCATGGCCCACGACCTATGTCCATAGATGATCATGGGGATGAAAATTGACCTTAATACAGACTGATTCATCTTCAGATTCAGCTCTAACTTAGTCGCAGCGGTTCAGAATAGTCCATAAAGAAATAGTTCGTGTACGAACCTCGACGAGCAGCAGTTGAGTCATGCGAAGAAACACTCTAAAAAATCTGAAACATAGCCAAGACGTCGGAACCTAGCTGTCATATTCCTATTCATTGTTAATCACTTTTTGTGCGTAATGTTAGTTGATCGTGTTACCCATAGCGTTTAGATCGTAAACGTTGATAATCATAGGCACAGACGATTCTGAGCTTTGTAGAGCTTTGAGTAAATCGAAGCTATCGACTTGTATACGTCTTCGTTATATACTTGTTGCAAGTTCGAAAATCTCAACTTAATTCCGGTTTTAGGTACCTTTTTCTGATTCTTTTCTAATAGAGTTCTTATATGCATGTTTAATAGGACCTAACAGTCGTCACACCAATGTTGCATTTATCAAAATTCTCGATAATGTCCGCATGGTATATTCGCTTTTGTTGCTAATGATGTCATTATTAATATTATAGAAACCAGACAACGTGAAGGAGAGCATCCCCTCTCAACCAGAGATTCCTCCAAGCACTTCCTCAGTGCAGGTTTTGCCGAAAAAAATTGACTCTCAAAAGAGTGACGAATCTCCACAGCAATCTTTACCTTCACAAAGCAGCGGAAGCATCGGTGACAGGAGCACATCTGCAAATTACGACCGTGCAGCGTCAGTTATCACTGAATTGAACCGAGTGTGTGACTACTGCAAAAAGTTCGCAATGGAAGCGAAAACCGCTGGCGATGATGCGTCTGCCCTTGAATATTGCAAAATGTTCAAAGTATGACTTTTAGAAACTTATTATTTCGTTCTATCGCAGCAGAAAATAAAATATGCAGAGTTAATTATCAGTTGAATATTTCACTTCAGCTGGCCTCACTTTTAATTATTATAAACTAGTTTTGAAATATTTGCCTATTTTATACTCACTGCTTTTTGCCCCTCGCTATGTTTATGCCTTGAAAAATTAAAAGGATGTTAGAAATCATTCTTAGAGACCGTACTTCTTTTGGTCAAGTACTATAAAACGTAAGACTGTATATGATTGATTATTATATATTATTATCATGATGATTGTCATAATAGTACACTCGCATGTGAACGCTAAGAATTAATGTTGTTTGTATGTTCTGTGAGTTGTGCAGAAACCGGGCTATGTTCGGTTTTATATATGTTATTCTCACTGAAATTTATTTATTATTTAATTTGGCAAACTCATTCTTTTCTATACATGCTAAAAAAATAAAACTATTTGCTGAAAATTTAATATTCTTCATACGGTAAACTTTCAACTAATAAATTGCGACGGTTTTAGTGCTATGCCTTCACTCTCTTCTAGTTCTACACCATTATGTAGTAATGTCCACTATTCAAGGGAGGGGTGGCAACAGCTTAATAACTATACTACTGTCTCATTCGCTGATTCTTTTGAGTTCGTGACGAGCCTTCACGGTTATGGTAGCAACTGAAGCGAGCTAAGCCATTTTTGCTTTGTCTTATCAAGCAGTTTTCGTTGACTGTTATCCACTAGTAGATACGACATCGATGTGGATTTGAGGAAGCGTAGGTGGGTAACTGTCAGTTGAACACTGAATTTTGACGTTGATGATACCAGGTCGCCATTCGTTTTATGACTTAAAGGAATTTTATTTTTGATGTCGGAGAGTCTGAAGGACCAGTACGCAAACGATCCTACAAAGGATCTATCGCCGGTAAAAAGTCTTGTCAGCGAGCTAACACAGAAAGTGAAGTTAGCGCAGTCATCTCCAGAAAAGTCCAACCTGAGTGCCGCTCCTGTGGCAGACGAACAGGTCAAGAATTTGGGCAACAGCCAGGCTCAGTCTTCTCTGACTAAGGCAGATACTAGAGCAATGCCTGTTGCTTCCTTCAGAAACGATCTGCAACAAGAATTGTTGAAGCGACTCGAAAAGTTTAAAGAAACTGCCGAACGAGCGGCGGCTGAAGGCAACGCCAGCAAGGTGCGTCGAATGAACAGGATCCAAAAGCAGTACGAAGACGCCATAAGAAACGTACAACGAGGTCGGCCCGTTAACTTCTCTGAACTACCAAATCCGCCGTGTTTTCCTCCGTTGCCCTCTTCTGACACCACCGGAAATTCAGCAGACCCGTTGGTCGCAGAAACAGCAGTTAAGGTAAGATATCCGTTTGTCGCAATGTCGTCGTTGCTTTATTTGCCTTCTATCTGTTTTTTTTCTTTGCCGTTTTGCGTCATAACGTTGCCGTCTGCTTTTTATGGGAGAAGAGTGACTGCGGTAGATATGAAAATCCATTATGTATCTATTGGCATAGAGTTTATTCTTGAAACTTTGTCTCAGGACGCGAAGGGACAACAATCGAAATTTTTTTGAAAGAGCTTTTGATTCTGGGTCCATAATTCATAAACTGATTGCTTTCCTGATCCGAGGTTAAGAAGACTATACTGAGACATCAGCGCGTCTCGTTTGTATCATTGGAATCGAATAAATGAAGTCTCCGTTTTGACATAATAATAAAGTGTTAACAACATAATGCTGAGTGACAGCTTTTACAAGAAATTGTATTTTTATGTAACAGATTACTAACTGCGCTATAACTTTGACCTCTATCAAAGAATAAAGAGTATTAATTGCAAATTTGGTGCATTCGTGCTAAAGTAAAAGGGGCTGTTTCATCAATAATCCCAACTTGATGTTGTTCCTATCACTTATCGAAGCACTCGTTTTACTGAAGCCATTTTCTTCGCAAGTTGCATGGCACGCGATGCATGAGTAGTCAGCATTACAGTTGCAGACAGGTGTTTGTTCACTCTTGTATTAAGCCGTCTATACGTCTAACCAATATACCGTCTCTCTGACAACTTGATAGTTGTCTGTCCCATTGTGTGGCTGAAACGTTGACAACCGGGTGATAATCACTTTCGTAACTTCAACCTTTGTCCTGCACCCAAAACCATTGAATCGGAAACCTCAGAGTTATTTTTTACTTGTTCTGATGCTTGGGGACAAAATGGAATTGATATAAGGAGTCTGTTTTCAGTTTTATGGTTTGCTTAAGTTTAGGCGCCTTGTATTGCACTGTTTAACAGTGCCAGCAAGTAGGAGTTTTGAAAAAAAGGTCTCGTGAGGATAGATAAATTTAAATTTAAATTTTAGGCTTTTTCCAGTATTGCATGTTGCCGCTGCATAACGACATATTCTTCACGATGTTCACATTCTTGACGCAGAAATTTCGGTGAAGATATCTACTGGAATGAGTTGGTTTTTGATAGGCCGAAAATTTAAAATTCATATGGTTCTTCTGGTCTATTATTTTTTACAGTCACATCAACGAACGGCGGGGTTTGCAGTTGCTCGACATCTGTGGCGAACGTTATACCGTAATTGTTGCCCATGCTTTCATTTATTTACGTCATATAAAGGTTCAAAGATGCTTCTTGCATCTTTGAAGTAGAACAAAAATATTATCTGCGAACCGGGCGTAAAACTCAATTTTTTTAGTCCTGGTAATATAACCTATGTGGATAACTGTCCCTTTTACGCTTAAATTTTTCACTAAGCATCAGGAAAACTGTCCGTGGAGTAATATTAGTAATGTACCCTCTTGTTTACGCAACTAGAATTACTAATGTCTTTGTGTACTGAAGGCGGTTGTCTGCAAGTTTCAGTATTAACTGTCCTTTTGAAGCTGGAGCGGCGATGTCGGTTTTCATCCATAACTCCTTGTATTGATTTCCTGTTTTCTGAGGTTGAAAGTCTATGGTAGATCGGTGGATCGCCAGACTCACAGCCAGAAGATAATGGGATCGAATGCCTGTTAAACCACTTGCCTTTAATTCCTGCAATCTTGATAAGCGAGTATCAATTCGTCCGAAGGAAGTAGGAGACCACTCGTTATAGTAATTACTTTGTTGTGGATATAGCCAGCAACGTTCTCTTGTCTGATGGTGTTGTAATATGTATATCCCTGCATCATATGTCACTTGCATCAATAAACAAGTGTCTGAGGTAGAGACCAGCCACGATGTGTAGTACATGAGAGACTAACATTCCAACCGTTGTCAACCTTCTTTTTCCTTCCTTTTAGAATGTTCAGTTTAACATGGCGTTAAATTAACTGTAATATACAACTGATTACATTATCGTAATCATCATCATCTGTAGCAGCGTTTTTTCACTCATTGCTAAATTAAGGCTTCGTCAAGACTTTGCCATAAACTTCTGTTTTCTGTGATTCTCATCCATCTTGATCCAACGAACTTCTTCAGTTTATCCTGCCACTTATCTTGAGATCTTCCTACATGTCTATTACTATTCTCTACTACGCCATTCGGACTTCGCTGACTCTTGTTTGCGTTCTTACCCATTACCAACGTACAACTTATCATGCTGCGTTGCGCAGCATGTTTCTTTTAGGCTTAGGATCCACCAGTTGTCTCGACTTAAATATAATTCAGTAAATGAGAGTCTCCTGGAGTACATGATTGTGAATATGCGTGAATCATGATACACAAACTGGTGAGAGGCAATGCTTTGACTATATACATTCTCTTTGTATAGCGTCAGCTTCACTAGAAATTTTAACATTGCATTTTGTATCAAACTGTTATGTGTCAGGGGCGATAAGATTCACTGTTGTTGTGTTTAATGTAGCTAATAAGTCGTTTTACCAACTGTCTTTTTTCCCTTTTTGATTTGAACCTTTCTCCATCATGATCGCAACGGATCTTCTAGGAAACTATACAATTCCAGAACTGAGTTGAATTGCTTAAATTAAAATTCTCCCATCCAAAAGAGATTTGACCGTCACTGGACTTCGGTGTTCAAAAGTATTTTTTTGCGATTAGTTGATTTTGAAAAATGTATTATAGGCTAGCTCAGGGAGTCCTAAGCGCGAACCTACCGTCCAGAAAGTCACACCTGAGCATCCGGACATTCCAAAGCCCGCGAATAATGCAGAGACATCTTCCGAGACACCTTCTGCGCCGCCCATCGTCCCTCATTCATCACAGCAAGAAAAGCAGCTGGACACGCTGACAAGGCGTTACGAGCAGTTTCGATCACTGGCACTTGAATCGAAGAAGCAGGGTGACTTGAAGTCGGCCAAGGCGTACCTAAGGAATGCGTTAGGTATTAAACAGCTTATGGAAGCGTCAGAAAATGGGTTTCCCATCAACATGACCTCTGTGCCGAAGCCACCCGTGATGCAACCAAAGAGAAGCCCCAACCAGCGAACCGGCAGCTTGAAATCAAACGATAACGGTACTGTTCTGGTCGAGACCGCTGAGGAGGCATTTACTATGTTAGAAAAAGACCTTATTCATCAGATTCAGGTTTGTATTTGCTTTGCATTCATTGAATTATTTTATAACTAGTTAATTTTTAAAAGAAATGCATGAAGGGAGCATATCTGTTATTAATTCCATTAATTTGTTTGAAAATTTAAATAATGCAGTTTGATCAGCCGCCGAAAGCTGATCAGCTTTATAAGCTAAGCTTTACACTCGTCAATGCAATATTACTGGTAATCTTGAAAGTTGCCTAGTATATTCTTTTTGTAGTTCTGCGAACTTAATCGAGAGTACTATAAGCGACTGGGCGATGTTCATCGATGTAACGACTTCAAGCTACTTCGAGATAACTGCGCCAAAGATTTGCTTTGTCTAAGGAACACGATGGAATATCGACATACCACACCAAGATTTCATTATGAAACACGCGTATTTCCTTCTCTGAAGTGAGACGAAAGAGCTGTGTGTATGCAAATCTTTTGCTTAAACATATGACTTTCAGATGTTCTCCTGATCTGAAGGCTGATCAGATGGAGTTGATCATCATCTGTTGTAAAAACGTTCTTCTTCCGCCTGACTACGACGAAAGGAAACATGCCGATCTTTTCGTCAGGTACATATTTCCATGCCCCAAGGATCAGCCGCAAACGGGAAAGACGGAAAGCGTGCGATATACTTGTTCTCCAGGTATGTATGTGTTCTTGTTTTAGTGTGCATGAGTAAACTTAATTAATGTAGTTTTATGTATTGCACAGCAATTAGTTGCTTTGAACGATTGTGTTTGCTGGTTGCGGTCTCTATGTTAATAATACAATGTATTTGATTGCATCGAGATATTCGCTCGAGTCGTTTCCTTTACGATTTGTTCTGCTTTCCCTTCAATACTTCATGAGTTATTGACCGTTAAATGATTAAAGAAGTTACTTATTTTTGACACTCCTCTGTACGTCATGGGTTCATACCTCATCTTCTAGCGTGTTAAAGTTTTCGTTTGCCAATGGCTTATGTCGTTTTCCGACCCTATTGACAAAATGATATCGATTTTCACAGATGTTCAGAAATCACGCACGCAACAAGACCTTAACGACTTTTAAATGAATCAAATTTCTATGAACATTATGCGGACTTTATGGATTCGGTACGTTTCATGCTTTATGCGAAATCAGCAGATGCTGAGGTAATTTACAAAGATGGATTATGTTAGAAGGGTATGTGTAAGGGGGAGGGGTGGGGTTGAAAATGATGCCTGAAAAATTCTGTCTTTATATGTACTTGTACTTAAAGAGACTTATCTAAGGTCAGATTTCACGGAGAATTTCACTGCCCCTTTGCTCCTAATAGCCTAGGTGATCATTTTAACAGGCGACGGTTCCATGGCATTTGAGCACCTGCAGTGTCAGATGCATATCGCATCATTTTTTGTCTTGTAGTGCCATCTCGTGCTGGTCATGAACGATGTTTCAAGGGCTGCAACTCTTCGTATGCTACCGCATAAACATTATAAATTGTTCATACCTGTAACACTTTTGGTATTATAATTCCACTTGTCTTCTCACGCATTGTTCTTGTCTGGATCAGGAAGGCTTCTGGTCTCTTGCGAGGTATTGCAACCATCTTTGAAAAATATTCCAAGAACCCTTCCTGGTAAAGACCCACGGACAATATAATGTTTAGAGAGAAAGCCGAGCTTGTTGACCAGAACATTGTGATTGGCGAAACATCGAACTGCTGCTCTTTGTTTAGAAAAATAAATTTATTTAATGTATTATGACGTGGCTGAAAAGCCTGGAAACTCTAGTTCACTGGCTCTCGACCTTTTTTGCCTCATGCATCTTTTTTACCAT